AAATCAGTGGATATGTTTTCGCTGCATGTAAAAGATCAATAAATATGACAAATTTCAATGAATTTAGACAAGTTGAACTCCTGTAATGATCTCATCTTATGCAGACTTCTACCAACATACTTGTCAGTGATAAGTTCAGTTTAGTATAGTATAAAATTTCTAGTTCACATGCGAATAGCTGTAGATACTGGAACTCCTTTGGCATCCAGAATCAGAATATAAATATTTCTCTGCTGCTCATTCCTGTAAAAGCTCAGAAAACGGTTTGTAATTTTTCTCGTGGCACATTTACTTCGATAGTAGACCTGGACATAGGAACAAAAATCTATTATGAGTTGTGAGTCTTTTGTCGACACATGGTGTTCATGGTCCGATCTCATAAAGCCAGTTGTTAAATTCATTGTATCTGTTATCGCTGCAGCTTAGGGATGATCGGATGGTAATGTATGCGATGCTTTTATCTGTCAAAGGGCTGCCGTTGGGAGAAAAGATCTCAGCACAAATATAGGAGACTGTGAAATCAGTTTGTCACTTATGTCTTAGCTCATAACATAAAAGGAATAAATAATTCCTAAATCAATTTTATAAATCTGGGAGAAATGTCTCCACAAGTCTTACAAACTTTAAAAGGTCCTAGTGGTTAGTTCTATACAAAACCGTGGTAGAAATTTAAAACTGCCATGTGGAAGTCAAAATGCCCCCAAACGAGAAGCAAGATCCGTAAATATGTCTTCGCTGCATGGAATTGTGAGGCCTCCCATGGGATGGCTGTACCCGAACTCTTCCTCTGCCTGACATAATAATTCTTGAAATGCAGGTCGGCTTAACAATGATATTGGAACCACAAATCTCTTCTTCTCTTGCTCCCCAACATAAACAGCAAAATAACCTTTTGGGATGGCCATGTATGTATTGCTGCTTCTATTTGACAACGATCGTCGGAAAATCTGTTTTGCTTGAATGATCCGAGGCATAAGAATAGCCATTTTTCCAAGGAGGGCAGAGTCTGCTGCGTTCTAAAGGCCGATGAAGGAGGAAAATGCTCAACTTAAATATTGGTGAGATATGTTGTGATGGATTTCAGAGGGAGTTGTGGTTGTATTCTGCATATGGAATGGTTTATATAACCAATTGATTAAGGAGAGGTAGATGAGAGAWGGTGACCTGTGGTTGTAGAGAAAAAGCAACATCACATGGTTTTGTCTTCCAACCCAGCTTCTACCCGACACCATTGTCCCTCATGGATGAAGCTTATCCATCAAAATGATTGTTGAATGATATCACAATAATGTTACGATGTTTTCTTTACATCATATCAGATGTAAGTCTATTGTACGCATGGGTAAACTATTACCGGTTCATGTTTGTTATGTTGAGAAGTTTCTGCTTTCGCACTTATGACCTTTCTAGGTGATTTCTCCATGAGAGAGAGTCTAATGAAAGACTGGTTTTAGATAAGTAATCTCCTTCGTTGTTGAGGCGTATTCTCTGTTGAAAGGTTAGATAACTGTTGTGCCCCAGAAGATGTTGAGATTAGTAGTTTCTACAAAGTGAAGAAAAATATTTCTCATATATATGAACGGACTGCAGTCAAGTTCTTGTGTTAAATGTTTATTCGTTTTAAAGCGCATCAATTAATGGTTCTTGGGACATGATTATGACAACTCTTTGGATCATGAGTCGTAATTCTCTAATTTTTTGGACTGTTGGCCAAATTCACGATTTTGCACAGAGATCTTTTCTTCAAACACTACTAAATGAAACACTTTTGCCTACGAAACTTTCTCTGGGAAATCTGTCGCTTACAGGTGATTCATCAGAAAACTGTCACAAAATTTGGTGGGTAAATTGTTGGTAGGTAATTCAAATCAGTAGGATTCTCGGGATGATCCATTGGTATTTTCTCAAAAAACGTCGGTTGTCGATAATCACCAACAGAAATTTCCCAGGGTGATTTTTGTGGGTAAAAGTTATTTGTTTTCTAGTGTGATTTTGCGCAGAGATCTTTTCTCCCCATTTCGAATAAATTCCCTCAGACAGAGATCTTTCCAGTGAAGGTAGATGTTCAATGCCATGTAAGTTCAAGTTCTGTTATTTTCATATTCTGTACGACTTGACATCAGTAGTGCGAGTGTGTTGATCTTTCAACTGAGAACCTCCATCAGTATCCACCGTCCTGTATTAGAGGATGGTTAAGTGGAGGGGATGTCAAACCCTCAGTTTTAGACTCCAATGGTTTTCTCTTATGGCCGTCTTCGACTTCTTTTCTAGAAAGATGGCATGTAATGAAGTTGTTACTTGTTTACAGATAATTAATTAGTGTACAAGACTTATTTTATGTGAATTATTTGCATTTTTTATAAACAAATGTATTCACCGAATATCCCTCATTGTATTAACGATTTACAAGTTGCAGGCCTCACCTCATCCCTTTTTGTATTAACGAATAGGAGGATGATATATATGAACTTGATATGAAATATAGCAACAAAATCCATGGTCTCCTATGTCTATATTTGTATACTTCGGCATTCTGTATTAGAAACATAGCGTAACATTCACATTTTATACTTGTTTTAAATATGGTTTTAGGATTTACTAGTGAAAGTTCGATGTAATCAATTGTTACACAGTTTTCCACTGAGCAAGACATCTGGCATATAGATTAAAGGGTTGAACTACGTTAACAAGCATAAGAGATCCAAGAGGCAGCACGCCAGTACCTCTTGTAGAATGTTTATCATTCTTGTCTGAAATTCCCTCATCATTTATCCATTCACCATCATTGTGGCTCATCTCTTTTCTGCTATCATTTCCTACATCACTTTCACTGGCAGTCTCCCATTCAGAGTCATACAAGTAGTCACCTTTTTTCATTCCTTACCAATCGCTATCCCTTCTACATTTGTTTTTTCTATCTCTGTTAATCAGCATCACTATACTTGGCAGAACCTCCTGTTCAGCTCAGCTTAAAATTTGACAGCTTTCAAAGGAAACTATACAAAGACATTCAGAATTAGTTATACTGATAAATGTTTGTGTCATGAACAAATTCAATCCAAGCCTACAAGTTAAATCTCACTAAAAACAAAGCATAGCCAATTTCAAATTTGCAAAACAGAGCAATCACTCAAGCTAAAGCCTTGGAGCAGAATGATACAATGTCAGACTCTTACATGTCATTGATCTATGGACATGGGAATATTATATGTTGACGTTCGGTTAACTTTCACCAAAAGAACTACAAATATGTCTTTATATCTAGCCATTTAAAAGATGAACAGTGTGATGTGTTGTTGTCTGTCTCACTATGTGTGTATCCATGCCCTAAAGATGAGGTCACAATAGAGCAAATTTGGCATAATAGATAGGGCTCGCAGACCGCAAGTAACGTCGCTGGCACTTTATTAAATGACATAAGCATCGTCACCACCACTTTAAACATGCTTACAATATGATGTCAATTTGTCTGATTCGTGAAACCCACATGGATGCTTGATACATCATGTGAGAATGCACTTACAAAAATATTAAGATCATTGAGGTTTTGTCCATGAAGAGGTTAAGGGAATATAAAAGTACATATTTATTAGAATTATCAGGGATTTGATTCAAGGGGATTGAATTTGAGCCTAGTTTGTGTATATAATTGTATATTGCCGTGTACATACCATACAGAAAAATTCATCATTTCAGTTTATTCCATTTTATTTTCAAAAGTCACTTGGGCCTTTCCTAAGAGGCTTCGTTAAATTGACGGCAAGCTGGTAAGTGATGAACAGATTAGACCAATGGAGGCTCACTAGTAATACCCAAAACCAATAACTCCTTAGATAGAAAATCAGTCTACTTTGGTGAGGTTATGGAAACCCCGGTTCTTCGTCATTACACGACGGCCTAACTGTAACATTAAAAGAAACATATTCCAGAAACCTATAACTCATACACAAGCAGTCTAAGTCTATATAACTTTGGAAGAACGTTTATCATGCCACACGGCACTGCAACTTTAAACTGGAATGGAAAATAGCTTTTTTATCTGCTTGGCCATCCATCACAGGAGGTTAGTATATACAAAACCACGGTAGTTGTAGATTCAAAGCAACCGAGCACCCTACTGGTCTGTTTTGATAAACCTCAACCCCGATTACGTGTGTGAAGCCTCCCGCTCTATGGTGTCTCCTATATCAGTACATAAGACCTTGTCCTAGAGCCTCCCGCTTTATATATATATATATATATATATATATATATATATATATAAATATATATATATATATATATATTGATTTATTGAAACTTCAAATCTAGGATTGGTGATAAAAGGGAAATTAAATGGCAGATGGAGGAACCGAGACAGAATTGCAATATCATGTGGTTGTGTCTTCCAACTTGCATGAGATAACAACATTTCTTGTCAACAATAAGATCACCGAGGATCTTAACTATGACTTAAATCTA